AGCCCTGTACTCAGCAATCCAAAAAAAAAAATTGTTAAGGCAAATAAAGCATAATTCCTCCTGCCCTTTAGCAACTTAAAATATACAAGATGTGATAAGATGCACACAGCTGTTACGGGGATGTGGCCAAAGCAGGTCCTGGGAAAGAGACACAGAGCGTTCTGAGAATTCAAAGGAGGGAGAGAAAATGCCTATGGCTGGCAGGTTCCATGAAGGAGGATCCCACTGACTCATCCTTCTCTGGGCCTCCCATAGCCTCCTCTGCATGCACCAGTGTTGCCCTGGTGAAGGCCTTCTGTTCTCTTGCTGGCCACTGCAGTGGTCTCCCAGCAGCTCTGCTCTCTCAGCCTCCCTCCACCCACTCCCAATACAACCCTGATTTTGCTGCTGGGATAGTTGTTCTGAAGCATTGGTGCTGTCAAGGAAGCTGGTTAAATTACAAGCTCTCTAGTTAGGCCTGGGTCCACATCTTGCCTTGCCATTTACTGGTTGTGACTTGGGGAATTCACTTAACTAAACTCCTTCGACCTGCATTTTTCATCTGTAGGGTGAGGATAATCAAAGTCCAAGTCTCATGGTCTTGGTGTCAGGATTTAATGAGGTCTGCACAGAATGTGCTTTGCTAGATGCCACCATGAAGTCAGGGCACTGTTGGTTGAGACTCTTTTAGCTAGCTGTTCCCCTATCAGTCGTCAGATCCAGTTTTTAAAGGACAAAATCTAATGTCCTTCTTTTGGGGTGCCAGGGTGCTCAGGAGCTGGTGCTTGCCTGCTTCTCCAATTCTTTCTTTCAATCCCTTCCCTCAAACACCCAACTCTCCTACCATCCTTGTCTGCTTGTCATCATCCAAGGAGGCCTTCTGGGCTCCAGCCCCTGTACCCTTGCACATGCTATTCTGCCTGCCATGGACGCTTCACCTTCCACCTATCTACATGGTAAATCCTTGCTGACCCTGTAGGTCTCATCTCTAGCAGATCTCTCTGTGTCTTCCCTGATATCTTGTGAAAAAAATAAGTGCTCCCTTTACTAAGTCAATGGTCGCAAACTCACGGCCCACACAGATAGCATAGCTAAGTGAAGGAGGACAAGGTAATGCAGTAGGGAGTGGTGGGGACTGTGGCAAAAAGGAGAACCCATACCCTGGCTAAAGGGTCAGCCACTCCTCACTGTGGCCATGATAAAATGAGCATACGGTATTGCCCAAACTTCCATTTCTTCAAGGTAAGAAAGAAATCTGCATTTTTACCTGACACCTCCAGTTGTTAATTGTTGACACCTAAAAAGAGTTTTAATGCTATAACTTTGAGCCAAACAAAACCCTCTGGGGACCAAACGGCTAGCTGTGTGCAGACCTTGGCTCTTGGGTCACCTGACTCAGGGATTTCCTTACAGGTGCACCCCTCCATTCTTGGTCCAATAATTGTTAGCACACCTACTTCTCCAATAAGGATAAGGAGAACGTTGAGTTTTCTTTGTCTTTCCAGTGCCCAACACAGTGGGTGGCTCAAAAAAAGTATCTCAGTGAATTTTACATTGATATTTCCTGAGCCTGAAAGCCAGGGTAGGGTCTGCAGGTAGGAGATCATTCCAGGCAGGTCAAAGAATCAAGGTGTCCCTATTCCAAATGTCCCTCTTTCTAAAGAGGAAAGATTTCATAGATATCATAAGCCTTGGTCAATATCTGACTTCTTCAGAAGTGTCTGGAACTCTTCCTACAAAGCTCCAAAGCCCACTCCACGGTTAGCAACACTGGAGTCAGTCCTGAAAATATAAACCTAGTCTATAAACATAGTCTATATATAAACTTAATCTGCACCTGGCATGTGAGTGAATAACTCAATGAATGAGTTAAATCTTCCTGACAGAGCCCCAACTCAAGTGTCAGATATAACACTGTCTTAATTTTGTTGGAAGGTGACCAGAGAGCAAATGCTGGATCAGAAAGAGACATGTTGTCTCTGAAACTGTGAACAAGAAGAAGAAAATGTTAAAGGTTGGGATGTGGACAACATAGAAGATTCAGTGAAAGCAACAATACATTTTTTTTAACTTTTTGAATACCCACAATCTTTGATCTGATGAGGCACTTATTTCAAGGAATAATCATGCACAAATATTTGGCTACAAGTATGTTCATTGCAGCTTTGTTTATAATGTTGAAAACTATAGGGGCTATTACATGAGCAGTAATAGAGGACTTATGATTATTAATAACAATAGATGAAACCTACTGAACACTTATAAGGCAGACTGTGTACTGGGAATGTTGGATTCATTATATCACTTAACCATATTGTTCTATCCATCTTACAGATGAGGACTCTGAGACACAGAGTGCTTAAATAATTGGTCCAAATCACATAGCAAACAAGTGTCAGCACAGGCATTTGAACTCAGTACTCATTTAATGCCAGACCTTCCACTTCTCCCATAAATATTCGACATCCACTGTGGTCGTTGTGCAGTCACCAAAATTATAATCTGGGAGGATATAGGATGGTACAGACAAAACTTATGAAGTGAAAAAAGCAGGTTACCAAAAAATGTGTCATCTTTCTCGGGCATCGTTAGAGGAAAATATCAGAACCCTTCAGACACTGCTCCACCACTAAAGAACGCTTTGAACTGAGAAGAAATGCTATCCCACAAAAGTCACTGCAGGATTAGTGCCAGATACAAGGAGTATCTCTAGCATCCTGCCATCCATTCCTCTGCTTCTCACCCTGTGTCTCTTTTACCTGTCTCTTGCAAACCACCTTCTTCAGTAACCCCACTTCACTGTAACCCAGCTGAGGCCTGAGCTTCACCCTGGTCCACTTAGCTGGGGTCCGGGGCTAGAGTTCTATAACAGCTGATTCTACAAAACAGCAAATGGTTTACAGAAAAGTGCTGCCCATCTAAGTAGTAATTCTATTTTTTGTAACTAAAAACCATAAATATGGAGAAAAAAGATGGGAAAGACTCACAACAAGGTATTAGCAGTGTTAAAACATACAACATTTGTCTTCTTATGTTTGTTTCTCTATATGTTCTAAGTTTTCTACAGTGGATATAAATTATTTCTGTACTAAGGGGAGAAAAGAGGCCAAACCATATAGGTCTAGAGTGGGTGATATTTGGAGACTAGAAAGAGAAAATAAAAGTGTCCTTAGTGCTGCTAAGGTATAGGAAACTCTTACCAAAGAAAGGTTAGCAGCTGAACAGCAGACCCCACCTGAAAGTCGCCAGATGTGGAGCAAGACCTCGCCTTGAGACTGTCAAAGCTGTATTGATGGAGATGCTAGGCATTGAGTGCACCAGTTCCAGCGCCCTGTGACACTGTGCTGGGCGAATGGCTCCTAGGATAAGGCAAGTCAGAGCAGAGAAGAAAGGCATGAGCTACACGGAATATAAGATATGGTTATAGAAGGCAAGAGACAGTGACCATAAGAGGAAACCAAAATGAAAATACGTGTTTCAAGCACTCAAGTGAGGAATGGGACAAGGAAAAGCAGGGATATTGCTTTGGTCTGAAAAGTGGCACTCGAGTTGCAGATAGGTGATGAAGGGGAGTGAGAGCTAAGATTTTCTATGCACAGAAAGATAAAGTGATGCCAAGAGAGATGAAGGAATGGAGAGATTTTTTTAGGTCCATAGAAGGTATAGTACATAGAAGAGTAAAGGAGCTGAAAGAAGGATGGTGGTGGAACCAAGGTAGGGCAGAAGAAGAAAAGACAAGTAACAGGAAAATGAGATATTGAGGACAAACATTTGGGCCTGAATAAAGCTAGCAAGGACACCGAGTCCAGAGTTAGGGAATGTTACCCACTGCCATCTTATTTGCCTCTGATTCTCCCCAAATCATAAGCTGCCGTGGGCCTTCCTAATCACACACTGCCTGTGGCCTCTCTGGAGGCATGTGTTCATCTTGTATATCACTTGGTACAAGTTTCCCTATCACCTTGCTCAGCTGAAGAATAGATATTTCATTACTTTTCACTACTTACTTCATCAATTTTTTATAACTCCAACTAGACAGGAAGTTCTTGGAGATTGGGGGGTTGGGAACAGTTGACATTGTTATCGGACATCAGCAGTTTTAAGATGTGTCCACAAGTTTTCTAACACTCCTCAAATCCAGAGGAGGGGGCTATTTGCTCTCCTCTGTATCTGAGCTGAGCTTAGTGACTGGTGGACCAATAATGTGTGTGCCTGGGCTAGGACAAAACAGATGCTTTAGCTTTTGCTTTGTTTTCTCGGGATGCTCATTTTTGGAGCCCTGAGTGGCCAGGAAAGGAGCACAAGAAAGATGCTGTAAGGAAGCTCAGGCCACATGGAATGACCAGGCGTTCCAGCTGATAGCCCCAGGTGAGGATGCAGCAAGGAAGGACCAGCATCAACCATCACACATGTGAGTGAGGAAGCCTCAGAGGTCGCTCTAGCCTCTGCCACCATCAAACCTCGTTCTCATGAAAGGCTGCTTGAGAACCACCCAGCTGAGCCCAGCCACCACTCAGAACCATGATGGATCATAATAAAATGTTGGTTGTGTTTTTATGTAAGTGTCAGGCTGAATCTGTCACACAGAAATAAATAACTGGAGCAGGCCAGGTTGGTTCTCAACAAACATCACATTTACTTCAACAGCAGATAAGGGAAGGCAACAATGTCTTTTGATCTTTTTCTCCCTTTTTGTCTTACTCTCCATTATTTTCTGTTCCTTGGTCAAGCTCTCCTTATATCCTCAATCTCTCTCTCTCTCTCTCTCTCTGCAAATCCAGAATTTTCCCTGTAGAAGAGAGAGAGAGAGAGAGCCAGGGCTCTCTTCATACCTATAAAAGGCCACTTTTATTTTCTCTCTCTTTTGGTGTAAAAGAGCTCAAATTCTTTATTAAAAACAAAACAAAACAAAACCTTTCCCATTTTCCTGTTCTTTACTGACTTTATTCCTCCTTCCCCAATGACCTTTGAGTCTTGTGTATTCTTTTTAGGTTGTAAAAATTAAGAACAAGATACTCTACCAGTGATGATCTTGGCTATAGCCTCACCCACATCTGGAAAGCACTGTTGTTTGGGCCACCTTCAGATCATCTTGCAGCTGCCCCACCCATCCGCTGCAGGAGTCCTGACCCACTTCCCCAGGCAGTACAGGGGGTCCGCAGGCAGCAGCTGCATCTGGAGCCTGAGTGGGAAGACAGCAAGCCGGGTGGTCAAAATGGCTGTGAGGATGCTGAGGGCAGCTTCAAAGGTCTCATAGGAGGGATGCTCAGACCCTGTAACCTGGAGACTGGCCCGGCTCACCTTGCACGAAGAGGGAGTGAGGCACTGAATGGTCACTAAGCAGCTGATAAAGCATGGAGGCTGAGGGATAGGCAAAAACTAGACCAGAAAATCCCCCCACCCCCTATGTGGAAGGGCGTGCATACCATCTGTGCTGCCCCTTGGGAGTAGCCTGCGCCCCTACCTTGAGAGATCACCTGTGACAAGCCTCGGTGGGCGCACATTGACAGAGTGATGCTCCTGCACAAATTCATGGAATTCTGGAGGAGCACGGAGCTGAGGAATGAAGAAGCAACCCCCAGGAACGCCAAACACGCTGCTAAAAGGACCACGTGCAGGGTTGGCTCAGCTCACTAGCAGCAGGCAAAGTAATATCATCTCAGGTCAAGGAGAAAACCCACAGCCCAAAATAGCCACCTTCCCAGTTGCCACTGGGTCTAAAATTATACCATTGAAGATTTATTCCTTTGCACACCTCACTTTCCCTGGGGGCCAGTCCGGGTGAGGGCAGGGACCCATGCACCCATATGTCTTCACATTAAGGTGTAAAACGCCTGACAGCTCCATGGAGTTACCTGGAGGTGGGAAAGGAAAGGAGGTGTTGAAAGGAGAGGAACAAGGCAAAGGAAGTGTTGGTGAGGAATACCAAAAGGAAACTTCTCCTATTTCAGAGTTTTACCCAGAAGGAACCTAGCTGGCAGCTACATCATAAAACAAAGGCCTGAGCAATTTGCCAGTAAATCTGAACCATGCATGTAAACAATTCTAATCATTTATTCCTTGAAATGCCTTTATAATATATTATTATGCAGAGTTACACATGCTTCTACTTCAAATTGCCTAAAGCAGGGGTGGGGGTGGGGTGGGGGGAGGAGTAAATGAAAGAGCAATTAAAAAGTATAACAAGAGGGAACATGAGGAAATGGTATCTGCCTATCAGGCTAGAACACAAACGGAAGCTACAGACAGGAAATCAGATCATCCTCAACCAAAGTCTCCACTTCTGGGGGAAGATATGTCCTCAGAAATTCAGGCAAGGTCTCTGTTTTTATACAGAGAAGTTTGGTTAACCTTACCCTAGAAGATTAAGCAGTAAACAAAATGAAAACAAATAATCACTATTGGAAATACACTTCCAGTCTACTGTTCCAAAAACTACCACCTCCATCCTATTCTATCTTTAAAGTCCTTAAGAAATAGACAAAAATGTCAGAATGGTAACCCACCCCCCTTTTCTTAAGCCACCTCTTTGGCAGAAAGCTAAGTACATGGATGCCAGGGATAAGCTTTAGGCAGAGGCAAGAATACACATAGGGAACAGAAGAAGGAAAAGAGTGAAAGGCAAGGAAAGAGAACAGAGTGCTGAGAAGGACGGGTTCCTGAAAGAATGAGCAGCATGTTCACAACTGTTTGGCTGTTTCTAAAGGGCTGCCACTGAACTTTACCTCCAGTCCTCCAAACTCCATGAAGGAAGGAAGTTTTACTCCCATTTTTATGAATGAGAACACTTTGGATGAGAGAAATTCGCTGACTTGCCCAAGGTCATACAGCTGGGTATTTGGGGACATGCGCAGGTCTTGAAAGCTGAGCCTAACTAAGTAAATCCCCTGTTCCTTCTACTCTAATAGTCTTTGGAGTTACCAAACCCAGGGAGTCAAGAAATGTTCCTCCTGGGTCTGTGAGTAACATACTGATGATTTCCGTAACTAAGATTTCCCTTCTTAAACTTGATTCATTCATTCACGCAGCAACGATTGCGTTTCAGCTAGCTCTGGGCATTGTTCTAGGAGCTGGAGTTCACCTTTCATGGGTGAAGGGTTCTCCTTGTATCTATGTCACACAGACAACTCCTTGATAGTCAATCTCAACTGTCCCCTTTTCAGGGGGACAGTTGACCAGGCCACCTCAAGTGGCCCCTGGCATCTTTTCCTAGTGACTCTTGTCTAATTTTCCCATAATACATAAGACACCTGAAACAATGTAAGTCCTATCTTTTTTTTTTTTTTTTTTTTTGCGGTATGCGGGCCTCTCACTGTTGTGGCCTCTCCCGTTGCGGAGCACAGGCTCCGGACGCGCAGGCTCAGTGGCCATGGCTCACGGGCCCAGCCGCTCCGCGGCATGTGGGATCTTCCCAGATCGGGGCACGAACCCGTGTCCCCTGCATCGGCAGGCAGACTCTCAACCACTGCGCCACCAGGGAAGCCCTGTAAGTCCTATCTTTATCCACTATTTTACTGCTTGTCTTCTCTCTAGGAAACCAGGTCTTTCAGAGCAAGGACCTTCTCTTATTCAAAGCTGTCTCTCCAATGCTTTGAACAGTTCTTGCCCATAATAGATGCTCAATAAATGTCTCCAATAAACAACAGTGAAAATCACAGAGAGCTTTTTCCAGTGCCTACTATATGTCCAAAGCAGTATGAAACTCTTTCCATCAATCATCCCATTTAATCAAGATTACACGTGCCAAAATAGAAAATATATGAAGAAGGTAAGGTTTTAATAATGGCAGAGAAAGTGCTTGGAAGAATTAAAGCTTAGTTTGAAATGCCTGTACCCTGTACCACTTAATGCAAGAACAAGGGCCATCTTGTGACATTAAAAGGTAACAAATTTAAAATGAATAAAAGGAAATACTTTTTAAAACAGCATATAATCTACCTGTGGAATTCACTGCCGCAGGATATTATTGAGGCAAATAGTCTAGCAAGATTCAAGAAAGGATTAGACATTTATATGAATAGGAATAATATTGGCAGTTACACTAACTAGGTTAAAAAGTTACAAGGCATGTCCGTCCTGGGCTCCAGGGCATAACTGCTCACCAGCTGGAGTGAGGAAGGAATTTCCCCCCGTGATAGAACATTGCATAATTGGCCAGATGCACAATGGCTGGTATTTTTGCAGTCTTCTGTAACAGAGGTAGAGACCGCTGCCCAGGGGAAGTTTCTGGAGAAGTCAGACCGATGACCTCTTAACATGGTTATTTCTGTCTTCGTGTTGTACAATCCTAAATAGAAGGTAGAGAGGACACATAAATTTGGGGGGATTTGTACCTGAAAATTATTCAACAGCAGAAGGGGTAAAAATAATTTTCTTCTTCCTGATGATGAAAATATTTCACAGAATGAAATCATACTCTAGTTGTAATCTTATTATCAGCATAGCCAATAGTTCCAGGAGGCTACCTGTGCAATTCCAAACCTCAGCATGCTAAAGTCCTGGCAAAATCTTATATAAGGGCATCATCCATCCATCTTTCATGTCCATCTAACACTATGCCTTCTGCATGTGCACTTAACAAGTATGTGTTTAATGAAAGTACATTTTTGCAGGTGTGGCAAGCAAAGCTGTTCATGATGCAGTCCACTCACATTTTGAAGCTTTTCTCTTTGTTATAGAGTCAGGCACTTCCTTTGATTCTTAGTGATGCATATCCTCCTTTTTTTTCTTCATCCTAACACGGAAAACCAAAAAGGCAGTTGTTAGCCACACATCGGAATACAAGTGGCCATAATAACATGTGAACATATTGAAGAAAACATGAAAACTAAATTATTCATTATACTAACTTACTTTACAAACCTTAGTTATCCAAGTGTAGATAAGACTCTGAGGAAACTGTATCAGTGTTTGAACGATTTAGGAAAGAATATCCCCCCAAATTGTGGGACAAAGAACACTATGAAAGCCAAAACATAAAAGGGAATTTTAATTTAAGTCCTCAAACCATCAATGAACCCAAAAGATTTCAAAGTAGAATAAAAGTAGATAGATATGCAATAAAATGTTGTATAAATATTAATACGATGGGTTCTTGTTAACTGCGGATTCCACATCTGAATGTTCACCCAACCAAAATTTGATCCGCAGTTGGATGAATCTGTGGATTCGGAACCTGCCACTAGGGAAGGCCAATTGTACTACATCATTTATACAAGGGACTTGAGCATCTGTGGATTTTGGTGTCCTCGGAGGTCCAGGAAGCAATCCCAGATGGATACTGAGAAATGACTGGAGAGAGAAAAACAGAGACAGACCATAGTTATCATTAGTATTTTCAAATATGTTCTCACACAAAGTAAGTTAAGAACCACTGGTCTAGGACCCAGTCCACCAGAAAATTCTCAATTCACCCTGGACAGAGTCTTTTCCATCTGCATACAAGAATTGCTCTCATTAAGATTTGCTTCTTTAAGTTGGCAGAATAATATTACTTAGATTCTCTTAGTAAAAGATCAGACATGTCAAGGGGATATGGGGATATATGTATAGGAATAGCTGATTCACTTTGTTATACAGCAGAAACTAACACACCATTGTAAAGCAATTATACTCCAACAAAGATGTTAAAAAAAAAAAAAAATGTAGGATCTAATTCCCATCCAGAGGAAAGACCTTAAACATTTAAGTGTTGTTTCAGATAGCTACCTGTCATTTTATTAACTGGTGGAAGATGAGTCTTTTCAAGTTTGGCTGTTTTCTCTTGGTTTAAGCTTTCCTATTTACTTTTTCATGTGATTATCATAAGAATAGAGCTTGTCAGATGTTTGTTTATTGGTGTTGGGTTGCCTTTAGTTTGGGGTGCTTTTTTCTTTCTTTCTTTCTTCTTTTGTGGTTGATGATTGTTTTTTTTTTACTCAAAATTAACCACATAGCATGAGGAATTGCATGTTGTGTAAGGTCTGTCATCAACCAGGATGGGGTTCAAATTTCACCCTAGCAGTGTTACTCTAGATAAACCAATTCCTGTGACTCTCTTTCCTCATCTGTAAAATGGAGATATAATAAATTTGGCTTAATCTGGTGAGCAGATTAAAGGAGACATGACTATAAAGCATTTGACACATTGCCTTTTATATATTAAGCAGAGAATAAATTTTATCTATTATTATAATTCTGCATATTTTGCCTGTGTATTTGTAATCATTAAGAGTGCATATCCTATTTCAATATTATTACAGCAGCTGCATAACAATGAATATCAAGAAAATATTTTATACTTCCATTTCCTGTTCTAACTATTATAAGCAAGAGTTTGATGAACATTTTCGAGCATAATCTTTTTGGTACTGAGAATGGATTCCTAGAAGTAAAAATTAATTGGTCATGGGTTATAAAAAAATCTCATGGCTCTTGATACACATGGTCAAATGAGTTTCCAAAAGGGTTTTGCCAACGTACCCTCATCTCAGCTATACAGAGTGTCAGTTTCGCTGCTCTTTGGTGAATAATGGGAATTCCTATTTACCAGTAATAAAAAGAAAAAAAATTAAAATAATGAAAAGACTCTGTATACGTAAGCCATTGTGTTTCCAGATCTAGGAAAAAAACATTCTTTGAATGGTACACATTTCCATTCCTTCAACATCAACAAGTTTCCGTCCAAGTGTTTTCTCAAAGTGTTATATTCAACCTCTCAGGAACTTTTCATCCTACAGTCACACACCTTGTAGTTTTCTGGCTGAGCGAAGTCACAGAAGGGAAGGAGAAGTTTCCTGGTTTCCTGCCAGCTGTCCAGTTGTCCCATGAAGACCAGCGATTCACTGCCTGCCGCTGGCATGAAAACACTGCACGCAGGACCATTCCCAGAGGAAATGGGACCTAATGAGACTCATACATAAATATTTTCTTGCAAAGTGGAATATTATAGAATGACACAGCACACATCAGACCACAAAACAGGGAAGGTATAACCCAAGGAGGCATATCACCTGAGCCCTGAAAGGGATAATCTGAGGAGGAACAGTTGGTTTGTGCCGCTTTGCAAGAGACCTAAATAAGAGCTGGTTTTGTGGCAAGAGAGAAAAAAAAAAGGAAAGAAAAGAAAGAGAATACTTTGGCCTTTGGTAGTGAATTTATACACGTGAGAGGTGAGGGATTGACAATGTTGAAATGGAAATTTTCTAACTCGAGGTGACCAAGTAGAAGCTTTTTCTTCCCTTTCTACATTAATGTCCTGCTGACCCCCTCTTTCTCTTTAAACAAATCTTGAGGAGCCCCAGAATTTCATTTGAAATCTATGGGGGCATTGTTCTAATAAGAAAGCATCTGACCACCCTCCACACCAAACTGTCCGATGAGAAATCTCTTTTAAGATGCTGTCACTTAGAAGGCTAGTTCAACGGCTTCTCCTGGCTCAGTTACAATGCAGTATTCACATAAGGCGCAAATCACAGTTGGGCTCTTTCGACATTTATGGATGGTGTAGCATTATTTATTAAATTCCAGAATCTGGTGTTGGTTAAATAGGCTAAAATGATTAGTGACTCCAAAGATGGAGACCATTGGCATGACATTTTATCCTGGCTCCATGAATGTCTGCACACGTGGGTGTGAAGCACACCTAAAAGCAGGCAACAGGGTAGAAGGGATAAAGACTCAGCCTCCTATCGCTACTACCTGTGTGACCCTAATCAAGCAATGAACCTCTCTGGGCCTTTGCTGCTACTCTGTTAAATGGAGATAGTAATACCTGCCTTGCAGAGTTATGTGAGGAAAGCGCCAGTTCCCAGTACAGCGGAGATTCACTGTTGTGGCCTCTCCCGTTGCGGAGCACAGGCTCCAGATGCACAGGCTCAGCGGCCATGGCTCACGGGCCCAGCCGCTCCGCGGCATGTGGGATCTTCCCGGACCGGGGCACGAACCCGTGTCCCCTGCATCGGCAGGCGGACTCTCAACCACTGCGCCACCAGGGAAGTCCCCGGGGAGATTTTTATGTCTACACACGTGAGCGCACACACACGCATATGTGAATATGTGTGCGTGCACTTGAGTTTTTGAAAATCAATTACACCTCTCCATTTTTATAGCTCACAAGGTGAGTTTTGAAAAGTCAATCAAGAAAGGAAGGAAAGAAACAGATTTTCCTTTCCAACAAGAAAAAGCAATTAAACGTCAAATATGAACTGTTCCTGGGAGTAAATTTTTTTAATGGGTTAAAGACTTGGCCATTATAGACCTCCAATATGTAATTTCTAAGAAAGGACCAGGTAATATATATATATTTTTTTTTTAATTAAGTGGAAGATAAAACGCTAGAACCAGTGGATCCATTCAGAAACCACTTTTTTAGCCATTTTCCAGAGCTTCCCGATTGCATCATGCCTTTTAAGAGGCCCAATTTATTTAACAGCACTTTATTTTAAACCTTCATTTGTGAAAAGCATTGATTTATGATGGGTTGATTAAAGCAATGGTATCTTAAGCAATAATTATTTCAATTATTGGACTTTCACCAATGTGCATTATTCTGGCTTGCTCTCCATTCTTTCCCCATTTTGATTCACTATAAGAGAATATGGTAGGTGACTTAATTTTGAAAAATTCCTGTACAAATGTAACGTGAGAAAGAAAGGTATAGACAGATGGACCGCTGTACCCTTTTTGATGATGTGAGGGTATGGTATTTTAATATGCTCTGACAAACTTGAACAAGTCCCTGATGGGCTCCTACTCAATATCATTTGGATTATTCCAAGCTCCAAGCCTGCTCTATTCTCCCTGGAGCACAGAGGAGTCATAGGAATGTACATACTAAAGATGACCCCTTGAAGCCTAGTACTTAGAATCTTGCCTTCTCTTTTCATGGACCTGGAGAAAACAGTTAAGCTCGCACTCAGATCTTTAACTCAATTCAAAATTAGCACTGATATAATGCAGACCAGATATTCTCTCCTGATCTGAGAGCCTGTCCCGTGGACCAGGCTGGTAAATAAAAACAGTGAAATTGGCCTGGAGTCATATGCTAGGGAATAGTGGCAACTTGGAAGGGACACTGTATAATGGGGGCAGCTGCTCCTGGGCCCCAGCTAATTGTCACCAGCTGTGGCCCAAACGGTCCCACATCTTTAGATTTTTCAAAAGAATCCAGAAATCCATACTGTTGTGTGAAGTTGAAGTTTCTCAGTTTCTAAAGGTTAGAAAAGCACTGGCCAAATTTAGCCTGTAGGCCACCTCTGCTCTACTTCCTAGTTGGTGCACAAGTGGTCAATCCATCTAGTTACTGGGGAGAAGATATGCCACACATTTTTTAAATTAACAAAGTATTTTTATTCCACTATTTCACAAACATTTAATGGAAATATATTATGTGCTAAGAACTACATGCTGGGCACTGGGAAAGCAAAAAGAAAGTAACACCTAGTATCTGCCATCAAGGAATTGACAGTCTAGCTTTTATGTATATGAACCATGAAGGACTTGGGGTTTAAAATCTTAAGAGGAAAAGCAACCTAACATTGGGGCTCAGTCTATCACATTCCTTTTTGTACATAGCTCCTTTGTTATCCTTCAGGTAAGTTAGTTTGTCCCTATGTTCTGCTTTGAAGCTCTCTTTTAATTTCAGGACTACTCCCATGAATATTAAAGTCCACGTCACGCACATTCCCATTAAAACCCCCAACAGCAATTGGAAGGGAAAATTCCATTTGTACCTTGACAGTTTATCTCCATCAAATCAACTTTACAGATTTCTTAGTTTGGTGCTATTAACTAGACTCTTGCATGATTTGAATCTAGTTATTCTATGCTGCTGTAGTTTTTATGAGAGCTGATCAGCAAATGCTTTATGTATTAATCCCTCTGGAAAATCACCTTAATAACTTTTTTAAGTTTTGGGGGGGAATTATAGAAGTCCCAAGGCACAAATGAAAGCGTTTGGGTCCAGCCATTAGAATTTTCAGTTTAGCACTTGAAAAATGATGCACCTAATTGCTTTACAGAAGAAAATCAGATCAAAGTTAAGATTCTTTCTTCTTAAACTCTGTAATTATTTCTCAGACTCCTACTTGAAGTGCCTTAAAGTACTTCCATTGAAATGTATATGGGCTTTTTCCCTCTTTCTTTTAAATATGCCTTGACTTTGCTGGGTCGCTTTTCATTGCCCTCTTTGATGGCACGACCTGAAAGGAAAGTCCTCAAACATCACCATCACTTGCATGGTATAGAAACAGACAAAACAGGTGGGGTGCAGTGCTAAGAGCCAGGCATTGCACCAATTTAAAAACAGCATTTGATACAGTCTGCAGCTCAAAAACAGGCAATTACAGGTGGTCTCATTTCCTTCTTTGCATATAATTCCCAGTCAACCCTTTGCATATAGATCCCCTTCCCATCCTCTTTTTCCCAGCCCATCCCCATAGCAAGCTCAGGTATGGCTTCTCAGGGAGCATTGAATCATGGGTAACATGCTCTGACTGCTGTGGGTACTGGATGTTGGGGGACATTTGACGCTTCTCATTTGCTTAACACAGCAGGCAATTCTTACAAGGTCACTGACTTTCTCAGTTGAAGCTACTGTGCTGATTCATTGCCAAACCCAGTATTTGACAGATGAAGGAGAAGAGACTGAGAGAAGGGAGGTGACTTGCCTCGGGTCACACAGCTGGCCACAGTGACTTCCGTCTAGCGCTCTCCCCACTGCCACTCACGGCCATGGTACTGTACAAACCTCGTCTCAAACAGAATTTTACTTAGGCTTCACAATAAAAACTAATGTATGATAAAAGCACAGATGGGCTCCTGTTTTGCGCCAAGAGCCTGCCCATCGCCAGAGACTCAACAATGAATGGGAAGCAGCCTAATCCTGATTCAATCGCCTGCTGATGATTTGTCCCCCCTGAATTGATGCACAGAGGGATCATTGACTGAACACTGCCTAGATTGTAAAAGGAGGAACCTTAGAACTTTCTTCCCAACTTTTGTTTTACAGAGGAGGAAACTGAGGCCCCTAAAAACCTTAAGAGCTAATTCACACCAGAGGCAGGTTTAGAACCCATGATGCTGATCACTGAGCCATGTTCTCTTCACTTCCGTGCATCCATCTAATTCCGAATGCAACCTAACTTGGGGGCCCAACCTATCACATGGATCCCAGATATCTCCTTTGTTATCCTTCAGGTAAGTTAGTTTGTCAAGTGCTCTGCTTTGAAGCTCCTTTTTAATTTGAGAACTAGTCCCATGAATACTAGAGTTCATGTAAGGTACATTCCATCAAAATCCCCAACAATTGGACAATGGTTCCTGGGACCCAGAGTTTAGCATGCGGTGACTGGCACAGTACACATGGGTCCCAAGGGGCAGAGATTGGGGACATCTCAGTAAAGAGGGGCAGGTCATGAATAGAGCCTCCATTCCCAGCTAGGGGCTCTTGGGTTCTGCCAAGCTCTGGGCTTAAACGTGAAAACTGGACAGTACACAGAACAGCACGTACCCATAGCTCTGGCATATTCAAGACAAACCCAGAGAAGTGGAGTGATAAGCCAATGTCCACTGAGACCCTGGGGTTAGTGTTTGTACCTTTACCAGACTAATGGGCTTTTTAGGCTTCCCATAGATATATTTAAAATAGTAGCTGCAGTTTATATATATTTTCAATGACCTTGTAAATCAATAGTATTCAGTAATCTTAGCTGAAACTATAAATGGCTGCTGGACCCATTAAAGAAGTAAGTTAGATCTTCTATTTTTTTTAATATGGTCTTCCAGGAAGCTGCCTCTGGACATAAGTACAGAAAATTAACACAATAAGTAAAGCATTATAGAACAGCTATTAACAGATTACACTAATAAAAACCAAATGGGTGCCTTAATGCTGCCCCTCTGGGAGAGAAGGACAGATAAAATAAACAACAGGAAAAGAATATGGAGTAAAGGAAATTGATTTTAAACAATAATAATACAGAAACCTCCCACCACGTTAAAAAAAAAAAAATTAGATCTCTAGCTTCATTTTGGGAAAGATAGAAGGAAATTTTCACTCTGCCTTGGTAAGACTTAAGTTTGATACTAATAAGCATGTTATCCAGGCTAACAAATTGGAAAAATGAAGACGTGCTGACAAGGAAGTTCTTAAATGCCAGGCACATGGCCACAAGGACTATTTACTGTAATATCAAAATGAGGAGCCCTTCCGTTCTCCTTCAGCAGAAGAGGAAATCTAAACATTTGGAGCTCATGGTCCGTCACGGTAGGATGAAAAGTCGGTTCCAATGATACTTGGCATTCACAGCAAAGGCCACGCCACACAGAGGAGTAAGAGTTTCTATCTCCTTGGGAGGTGTTCATGGGGATGTGTAGTTTAGAACTGCACACACACACACACACGCACCCGCCCCAGGTACAGCACTGCCTGTTGGCTAAATCCTAAAATCCTTGAGCGTGCTCGGGGTTAACTCTATGTAGAAATTTATAGTAGAGAAGGGTCTCTTCTTTCCATTTTGTTACCTATAACATGGCCCATATCCCTACCTTCAAACCTAGCCGGAAGCTAACAGTTCGTCTTTGTGAGTGCCTGCTAGTTGCCAAGTGTCCTCCAATATGCCTTACACATGTTGTCTCTCATTCCTGTATTTTGCTTGCAAGGCAGGTAATGATCCACAATCAGAGTTGAAGAAATGAAGGGTCAGTGTGATCCAGAGACTAGTTCCATTTCCCACCTTGTAGACACTCACCCTTCTTCCTTCCCATAGGTAACCCCGGCAGGATCCCTAACTGTCACTGTTACTCTTTTCCTTACTCCGTCTTCACAT